GCGTACACGAAAATAGAGCCCTTGGTGTCTGAGCTCTACCTACTTGATGTGCAGACTTAGTGCTGGGAGATCTTGGAGTGCTGCCGAATTACCTGCAAAGTCACGCTCTTGAGCTCCACCCGTGGCAGCTGGCTCGCCCGGTATACCCTTCACAGTCAGCTTCATATACAAAAGCTCTATTAATTCAAACCTCCTGACATTTGGAGGCACATCAACACCATAACAATTTGCTGTGGATGTTTAATCAGCATTCCTCATTTTTTTAGCTTATCTCTGGTGGGGTAAGTGGTAAAATCTTCTAATTCAAAGTCTATTTTCTCCACTCCATTAAGAACAGAAATTTTAGCCAGACAAGCACTGATACAAAAAGTCAAAAACTTTCCAAAATCACTGCAAAGCAGACAAGGAAGAATTGACGAGCCCCCAAATCATGTTATGTCCCGGCCCAGGGGAAACTTGGACATAACATGATGTGTGACCCTCACTATTCCCATTCCCCCCCTCAAAAAAAAACAAAAAAAACAGCGAACTAGGTGAGGGGGACTGATTTTAAGCAGGCATGTTCACACTGTGAGAACATAAGTGGACCTGTTTGGTGAACCACCAAGTCAGAGTTTTAATTCATTTAGAAGTTTTAGTAACAACACAGGTGGCACAAAAACATGATTTCCAGTATGAGCAGAAATAAGAATATGTTGAATTTATGAAGTAACATGTAGCTCCACCTCTTTTCCACACAGCTGTCAGAGCGCCGGACACAACTAAGTAAAAGTTGGAGAGGGATTTGATTTGAAAACAGAAAAAAAGGCTCAGAGATTCAAATGATCGAATCAATATTGCATAGTTGAAAAATTTTAATGGTTTTAATTCTATGAAAAAAAACAAATGTCATCTATCTGCATTGAAACCCTTTGTTTACTCATATCACAATGTACTACACTGCAGGAAAGAAAGCATGATGTTAATTCTTGTCAAATACCAAGCACCTCTTATCAGCACAGTGTAAACAAAGGGATTAAGATAAAAAAGATAATTCAAAGTTTTACTGAATAACTAACAAATACAATAGTTTTGGAATAGCAGTGTATAATCTTGTCTTGTTGTCCAAGCGCATGCATTTTGAGGTCTGCATGAAGTATGTCAACATTTCCTCTTACCTCTACTTTTACTCCTGCTTTCCTCTTCTTTTCTTACATGTGCACCCACAGATCTGTTGTCTTTGTCTCAGGTGTTCTGACCTCCTCTGTTCCAGATGCTGCTGTAGCTCAGCTTCAGGCCTTCTCATAAAGCCGCTTGTTTATCTTTATTTTAGCATCAGAACATAATGAAGCCATGAGTCAGCGGCTTCTGCTGCACAGCACAGAGGGAGCATTATCGGCCTCGCTCTGTTGTTCTGAGTAGAGAGTAAATACTGTGTGTGACTCTCAGGCTGAAATACTAGCATAATTTAAAGTGGAGACAAAATTGAAAAGTAAAGGAGCAGTCATCTACGACTTTCTTCCCTAACACTGTTTGCTTCGTTTTTTGTGCTGCTGTTATGGCTCGGCTCTAGGTGAGGATGTTAAAATGAGTCATTAGCATAATGGGTGGAAGCTAATTGAGCAGAGTCTTACCAAATTACAGGGAACGCTTAATTACCAGACATAAACCTGAGTGAGGCGTGAACACACGTGTGCAGGTACAAATGTTTCCTCCTGATCAAATGCATGAAAAAAAGGAGTTGAGAAGAAGGTGAGAGCTCTTCAGCCATGACAGGTCTCCATTTAGAGTCGGTGTTCTGCACAGGTGCTCACTGCTTGGAGACAGACAAGATCTTAGAGAGGAAAAGAGACGTGAATACTGAGCAGCTCTTTGCAGCAACAGTCACAATGCTGGTATCACAAGAGTCTCTGGCTCACAGAAAGAAGAAGCTGATGGTACATGACAGATTGTTCAGATGTTTTTAGCTGGTGAACTTACCTGCAGCATGTCGAGAAAATTTCTCAGATTTTATTCAAATGACTAATTTTCCCAGGAGGCTTTGCATAGCTGATGCACTCTTACTGCATAAGTCTCTACAGTTTATAAGGTGATTGAGGGACATGAGGGAGTTGTTTAAAACTATAGTGAGTAGTTTAATGACTTCCTATGATTAAGGTTGCTGTTTTTATTTTTATCTTTTTTCTATAAGAGTTTCCTTGTTTCTGACTCAAGGATTGATGAAGTCTCATATTTTGGACTGAACAAATTAGAACAGATAAAATAACATGATCACAAAACAGTACAATCCATATGAATTTAAAATGTCATTTTTGTGTAGGAAAAAAGGCAGCTAGCTAATTGTTGCTAGCTGCTTCGCTTCCCGGTACTTTCACAGCAGTAGCAATTTCTTTTCACCGACTCTGCTTATCATTTCAGTTGTGTTGTGTTTTACCAAACACATTGTGACAGATGATGTGGAGCATTGGTATCCATAATGCAAAACCAGACTGAGAAAATATTTAACAGGTTTATCTAGAGCAGGGATGTCAAGGTCATTTACACTAAGGGCCACGTCAGCATAATGGTTGCCCTCAAAGGGCTAGATGTAACTGTAAGAATAAATGTAACTAAATGTAACCAAGTATAATGTAACATAAAGGTATCTACTCCCTAACATATTGCTAAATAACTTTCTGTGTTTATTACTTATTCAAGTTATGAATGCATTATAGATGTTGTTTTTATTGAAGGCTAACTTTGGCATACTTGGCTCCGTGTGTGGTATCAAAATGCAGGCGTAGGTTGTACTCTTTGATGACCGACACCGCCTCATAACACAAAACACATAACATTTTTTCTCCTTTAAGCACAAACATGTATTTGCCTTTCCTTATTTCTTGAAACTGCCTTCCATCTGCATCAATCTTTCTTTTTCTGGACATTTTGGGATAATTTGTGGATATTTCAATCTCAATTTCATTCGTCGCATAATGCATATACATGATACACTGCTATCTAGTGGCGGGATGCCGTCACTTCGCAGGGAACACAATTGCCATGCATTGCGGTCACAGCATGCCTTAAAGCAGCATAGACCTATTTTATCACAGATTTTTAAGACCAATTAAACACTTGCGGGCCACATAAAAGGACATGGCAGGCCACAGCTGGCCCGCAGGCCTTGGGTTTGACACATGTGATTTAGAGGGACCAGAGTCCAAGGGAGTGTACTGGGTTGTGAACTGGTGAGAGGCACTTCCAAAAGTCTCACTGGAATCACAAGAGCTTCACAGCGTGAAGGCGATAATACTCTGGCACTGAGGCTTGTGTTGGCAGCAGTTGTAAGCCAGTTTGATTGCAGAGAGAGCACTCTCAGCCTCAGTGTCACAGGGGAAAGGGAGCAACCTCTGGAGACAGGTGAAGTGACAGCTCACAACCCACAAAGGACAAGAAATCCATCTAAATAAAATGTGCAGAAGTCTATGCTCACCACTCACAGTGTTGCTGCCATGAATCATTGATTGGATTCTGTATTCTGGACATCAATCTTGGTTTAAGCTTCCCCATTACTATTATTGGCATGGTTACATTTGTTTTGCTTCCATGTGACAACGGACGGAGAGCAGGATCCGTCATACTTGAGGATCCTACATATCTACGGATTTGAGGCTGTAAAAATTGACAATGTTTACGATTCCAAGTCGTGAGGCTCTGATTGTCTTCTGCACAGATTGGAGGGAAGAAAAACCCTCTTAACGCACGTACACTTAGACTTGTAGTCGAGCCCACCTAAACCGCCACCGAGACACTACCAAGACTGGAGGGCACAAAGACCGAGACTAGACCAAGGCCTGGTCAGGCCGAGATCGAGACCAAGACTGGGACAAAAAGAATAGAAATAAAAAAATGACTAGTGTTGGAGTTGACATTACACCATGATTTGCATGAGTTATCGATCCAAAGCACCATACTGGGGTTCTGCTACACAATATGAATAATGGATTGTTTTATTTTAACCACAGACACAACAAGAAAAAGGCAGTGCATGTCTTGTGTGTAAACTCACCATAAATGTTTGCACCGATTGGGTGAAATCAACCATATGTAGCAATTGCTGTTAAAATACTATAGTAACTGACTCTGTATGCTCTAGTATGCTGGCAAGGACTGACATATAGACTAACAAAACAAACCTTCAACACCACCTTTCACTTCCAACAACTAATGAAAGGGAAATATGTAACTGATTTAAATTATACTTTATTTGTATCTGAAAATATAACATCTGATTGAAGATACACAATGATCAACTTGAAATGGTGTTGTGTCCTATTTGGTACCAAATTACACTGTATAATATCAGCATCTCTGGAATGCAAGACAGTGACGTGAAGATGTTATTCAAAGGTCAATGATGCCATTTATTTAGTCAATCAATAACAACACAACTTTGTCACCTCGAATGAGTGCAATGCCATCTCATAACACACTGTCAACATAAAGCCTGTTGTTCAGTGGGGCAAGAACAATAGAACACAGATGCCATGAACAAAGAACAAACAAATGGACTAATACATCAAAAACTGTAGAATGAAAGGGAAACTGTATCATGTATGCATTTGTGTGTATGCAATTGAATGTGTCTTATATGTATGTGTGTGTCTTCTTGTTTTCTGTGAGAAACTGTGTTTGTGTGTGTGTGTGTGTGTGTAGCAGAGGGCTGTAAGCATGTCAGTAGTAGTGTTGTGCATGTGTTTATTTAATGATGTATGTGTGGCAGTGTTTGTTTGTGTGTTTGCGTGCGTGTGTGTGGAGAGAGAGTGAGAGAGACAGATATAGAGAGACATCAGTTCACATTTTAAAACAAGGAACCGTAAAAACGGCAATATCTTATGGCCTATTTGTGCACTTCTCCACTGCGGCAGAGGAGGCAGGGACAGAGAGGACTTTCAAGGCAACATTGTGTGAACCAAGGACGCACGCACTTTTGGTTTTTTGACCAAAAGGTCAGTACATCATAATCGCAGTCATTTACGTTGTCTAGGTGTTTATTTGTGCAGTAATGCTCAAGTGTGGGTTGTGCCGTGTTGCTACTTGAAAGCCTTGTAGCGTGAAAGAAGATGCTGATGTTTCAGGGGTGGTACACGATTCTTCTGCATCTTCTGCTATCAGTGCAGCAGCTGGATTTCTGTCTACCTCAGATCAAAAGGTCTGGAAAAAGTGCACACAAACAAACAAACAAAAGGAAAAAGCAGTTACAACAACACTAGCCACCTGTGAATGATTTCTTAAGACTGTCTCTGAACCTTGTCAGTGCTGGACCACTTTCTCCATTTTGGACATATAAATCTACCCAGCTCAAACCAAACTGAGGGTCAAGCATGGCAGTAAGGAAGTAGATGTGATGGTTAAATGGCTCCTCTGTGCTCTATGTTGATCCTTCTGAGAACCTGAGACTTTACTTAGTGCTACAATTCTTGTCACAATCTGTGGCAGGTGCACTTCCATCTTAATGAGTTGAGTTCTTCAGTCCAGGACAGTGGGGACCATCCTGCTGATTGGAACCACAGTGTCCCCTTCTGTGATGTCTGTCACCTCAGAAAAAGGCTCAAGCAAGGCACAAAGGGTCTTTGAGATGGCCCATTTTCGGGCTTAAATTACTACATTTTCATTCACTCTTCATTTCTGTGACAGCCCCGTTGTCAAATGTGGTAAGAGCTTTTAAATGTTTGAAGGTGTTGTTCCAGCATGTGTTGTTAGCTGCCGGATAACAACACAGTTTAGAACCTTGCAACAGCAAACCTTAGATTGTGAACTTGGTGGCCTTAGCAATGGCTCTTGCTATCACCCTAACTTCTTTAATCCTGTAATTAACAACCAGTTGGAGTGAGTGGGCGAAGCAAGACAAGCGTTCACCTGATGACCACAGCTGTTCAAAATCTTCTCTATGTCCTTCCACATAATTTTGTCATCGGGATCATCATTGTCACTCCCAGGTTGCCCTGGGTCGGGCATTCTCTTTAAAGATGCTTCATATTGGATGCGTTATCCATCAGAATGTAGCTTGTTTTGTAGTCCACACCATACTCTACCATTTCCTCAAATGTTGAGGCAATTCGTTCACCACAGTGCATCCCTGTGAAATGCAGACAGTCCAGCGAAAAGGATTTTAAACTGTAGGAGTCCTTGTCCTTGCAAGCAAAATACTCAGTAACTCCAAGGAAAAAGCAAAGCCTCCTATCAGACCAGAGGTCAGTTGTAAGTGCAACACTTGACTGAGCTTCCAGCGCTTTAATGATGTCATCCTTTGTCTTGCTGACTAGATAAGGTATCTGCTTCTCTGTCAAGCTGACCCTCGACACAGTAGTGTATTTGCAATCCATGACAGAAAGACAGTGTCTAAATTACAGATTTTCTACCAGAGACAAGGGCAGAGAGCATCTAATGATAAGGTCCTGGAGGATGGCTTGTGTAATGACCTGCTGCCTGGCTGAATTTGGGATATAAAAGTGGACTCTTTGCACGAAGGACGATATTGTTTGCTTCCATTGGTCCCCTTCGCTCCCCAAATCACACATCACCACAACTAGATTCCCATCCTGCAGAATACAATGCAGAGGCTTGCAAAAATCTGTCCCTAAATAAATACTGCACATATGGGAATGCATTATAAGTAGCAATAATAAATGACATACATGATCTGTTTGGTCATGAGTGGTTGAACAGGTTTGAGAAAAATCTGAAGACAGGTTTATGGCTAATGGCTAGTAGTGCAGCGCGAATTAATGGTTAGAACCATAGTCTTTAGTTAGAACTAGCTTACCTTTCACAGTGTCTTTGCTACAGGTGTCTGGTGAATGTCGAAGTTGTCCCCACTGCCTCTGTCAAGCACACTTTGCAAAACTTACATTTTGAAGCGTTATCAATGGATCTGTCAGTGGATGGATCCATACCCCAAACACTAGCTGTACCATACCCCTTCTTTGGATGGTGCACTGACAGGATCTCTGATAGTGATACACAGGATGCATAGGATGAGTGCCAACGTTCACATTACAAAACACGTTATTTTTATGCGCCCTTCAAGCACAACCATGACAACCACAAGCTGAAAATTCCTTTAAGGCTGCTATGTTAGTATGAGACCCATTGAGACAGAGACACAAGACCAAGACCAAAGACTATTGAGACTGTGACATGACCAAAACCACATAAAAGTGGTCTTGAGACAGGTCTCAAGAACTACAAGGCTACTCACACTTCAAGATAATCTGGCGAGGTCATCTTCAGAACCATCCATTGCCCGGCCTTTTTTTTGGAAGGGGGGAGGTCATGCCCCAAATAAGTGTGATTGTCTAGTTGTACGTGCCCTGTTTGAGGAGGCTGGGCTCTCCTGTTTAGTTGGGTTTTTGCTTCTCAGGATGTCAACACTTGTTGGCTTCCTGTGTCTCTGTTGCATGAATGTTTTATTTTAAATTTAAGGTGATTTTTGTGTTTATGCAGTCTAAGTCCAGTGATCTTCCATTTTGTCCCCTCTTTCTGACTGCTTCCTTTTTGTTTTCGAGTCCAATCTTTTGTATCATACAATGAATTTGTGGATTAAAAAGTTTTACCACTGGTATAAGGACACATTTTGTTTTAACTATGTTTAGGAGGTGTAGTTTTGTTAGTTTCTCAACCTGCGTCTCCTGTACTGCAGGTTTATTACCATCATTTGTATAATTTTTAGTGTAAAGTCACTAAACGGCTCCACCCATCCTTTGTGTTGTCAGAGAGCAGCAGAGTTTCCTCCATGTTGAAGTGAAACTGGAGAGAAGATGACTCCCTGCTGATGATGGTCTGATCAGAGTGAGACCCTCAGGAAGTTGATGAAGCAACAATAAAACCTGCTCTGAATTACTGCTGCAGAGTTCATAATGAAGGCTGGGAATACAAAATTAGTGAATGTTATATAATGATGTGATACCAGCTCATTGATTTATCAGCTTTAGTTCATAATGCTTTTAGCATTGTGTTGATTTGGGAGATAAAAATCAGTGTCTCATACTCTGAAGATGTAAACTTTATGATGGAAAGAGGGAAAGAAAATCCAATATTTACCAATTACCCCCAGCTAAACAGCCCCCCCTTGGATTCATGAACTACACCTTTTGGAGTCTCATTATTAAGAAGAAGCAGAGCAACATGTGATTAATGACCATCTTCTAATTAGAGTTGCAGAGCTGGAAGTTTCACATGATTTCATCTTCAGGATCATTTATCATATTTACATACCCATACTGAAGTCACTCTCTCTGCCATCTGCTGCATGTTAGACTACACACACACACACACACACACACACACACACACACACACACACACACACACACACACACACACACACACACACACACACACACACACACATATATTTGGCAAAAAATTAGTTAATGTAAAATAGATGAGCAACCAACAAATGGCTTCTGTTCTTTAGCAGGGCTGCATAATAGATCATAAAGCTTATTGATGCCCCAATATGACCATTATCAATTGCACATTGCAAAAATATCCATTAATATCAACAAATTAGGCTAATTATTCACTAAAAATATAAATTTATATTTTCTTACTCAGCATATGCACATTTAACACAACATTTTACTAGTTGCATGTACTGTAGGTCTGGGTATTATAGCTTCAAGTTTTTGGATACATCTTCCACTAAGGAGACAAATGCTGCCACAAGCTCACTCTTTATTTGTTTATTACAATGTCATTTTTTCAGTACTATGCAGCTCTGTACCTTTGGATTCAGGCTGTACTCAAAGGGACATTAGAGTTCATGTTCACGTCCCCACTTCACGTCCACAAAGAGTCAATAAGCTCTCCAGAGCTCTGCATGTGTGTGAAGGTCATAAATGTTCAGAATAAATGTGCCGTAAAAATCAAAGAGGGTCTCTTTAGGCTCCTAAATGTTCCACTGTGAAGTGAACACAGAGGAGCAGGAGCTGTTACACTCTCTGCAGGTGTGTCCTTCACTCAGCTCTGTGTCACATTGCTGCTTTATTGGAGGAGATGGAGAGATTGTGGAGTGAAGCACGCTGCTGTTTTATGATCTCACTCCAGCAACATTATTTTCATTCCAGTTTTGTGTGCTGTCTGAGGAGGAAGAAAAAGGTTTGCAATTTACCTGCTTTTTTAATAGTTTTATTTTTCCTCTAATGCACCAAGATTAGAGCAGTCTAATTTAGTTTAACACCCTCTTCAAATTCCAATTAGTGCCTCTTAAACTGCACCATAAGATATTCCAAACAGAGCCTTTAACACTGTGGGCTGTAAAGTCAGCAAACGCCTGCTGCAGAATGTCTGATTAAGTGGCTGTGCTTCAGCAGAGAGGTGGGCAGTGCACACCCCCAACTACCACCGTTAAAGCAGACATTGGTGTTTGCACAGAAAGTTAGCTGTGGGACAACAACAAGGTAAACCTGTGTTATTTTCTCCCTGAGTTTGATGAAGAACAGTTATGCAGCTGTTTGAATCTGCCAGCTTAAAAGTTTGTTTCAACTGATGATTTGGTCATCCACAGTGTCAGTATCAATGGAGTAAAAGACCAAGGGTGTAGATGAGATTTATCGTGACAAGAGGCTGTCACTCCTGATAATTGTTGTGTCCAGCAAAACTTAAAGTTCTTAGTGTAATTGAGATACTGTACCTTTATTTTGAAACAGCCATGTCAGGAAATGACATTGTTTTCAGCTGTGGTTCCAGAGGATACATTGAAAACACCATATAGGTGAAATCAGTCATGGCATTCGCTCATGTTATGTTAAGTCAAACAGCCATGCCCAAGTGGAAGGTCAATATCAGCAGCAGCAGCAAACAGTGCTGTGTTTGTGCTGCTGAATCTGCATAGTTAATCATTTTACCAGCAAAGTGGAGATGTGCTGCACCTCTACAGTGACCATTGTTGTGTTTCAGAACAAAGTTAAACCTCCACCTACTAGCCTCCAGTATTTTCTGTCATTTTTACCAATCTGTGTGCATGCAGATCATTTTCACAACATTCTGACAAAGGAGAAGATCACAGCCTCTGCACTTACACAGTGAGGCCACTCTTGGTCGCACTGAAACATTGACAGTCTAAAACATGATGAAAACACAGTATAAGCTAAAATACAGCAACAAATGTTCAACACATCATAGGGCCTGAAAGCAAAATTATGTTTCACTATGTCTCTCTGTGCTTATCATGCATTTCAAAGCAAATGGGGCTCATCATTGTAACCACCAGGGAGAGGCAGGCAGGTATACATCTGTCTTCTTATACGTGAACAGCTGTGTGCTCAGTACGGCTGAGAGCTTCACGACTTCCTATACCTGTCTGCCATATGGCACAGACTCAACACGCCGCCACAGAGTCCATTTACAGGAATAAATTGGACTCATTAGTCAGCCCAGTTGGTATACTCAGAAAAATGAATATGCATTATCTACAATAAAAAAAAAAAAAAAAACTTTTCTCTATTTTGCTGTTGCTGGATTAAAAACTCTCTGTTAAGTGAGGGAATGATGCAAAGAGAAACCAGCAAGTATATAAAATCGTGATGAAAATCCTGAAAAGTGAGCAATGATCTCAGTTCCAGGACAGTGTGTGTGTGTGTGTGTGTGTGTGTGTGTGTGTGTGTGTGTGTGTGTGTGTGTGTGTGTCTGTCAGTAAGGTCTGAGAGGGGTACAGAACCAATTCTACTTTTCTGCACTAACAGGAAGATGTTGGGGCATTGGTGTGAGTGGTCGTAGATAGCTGTGGTGCAAAGTGCATATTGATTAAATATAATACAAGTGTGGCTTGTTATGCTTAGCTCATTGAAGAGCATAACACAGAAGGGAGTTAGACACAGTGACAGCTTTTTAATAAAGAATAATTTATTAAAATACTCAACAAGGAAAAACTAATGGTCAAGTCAGCAATCAGTAGTGTGGTGAGGGTGTAAAGCTGAAAACATACAGGATCCGTATTGAGTGTGTTCTGTCAGCGTCACATATCTGCTCCATAGAGCAACACTGTCTATCGCATACAGGATGTGTATTTGGAGCGTCGCTGCAGCGTAGTGCAGCCCCAGTCAGCTGGGCTCAGCATAGAGGAAACAACATGCTCACAGCAGGTTGTTTTACCTTTTATTGGTTGATTTCCTGCTAATTTGGTTAAAATGCAGTGACTGTTGAGCCTCTACTATATGTGAAAAAGCAACGTGGTTTTACAGATTAGATTTTTGCAGGTTTACTCATGTTTAATAAAGTAAACTATGTTCCTTTATGCTGTGTTGTTCCCTTCAGACAGAGTTAGCGGTAAAAAGTCCTGCTGGGGTCCACATGTATCAGGGATTGACCATCGGATTGTTCTGAGTTACTGATAAATCCAGAACCAGGAGGTATTTCTCAAAAACTGATACAGGGTCGGGAGTCTGCATGGTGTTTTATTTTGAAATCCTGGATGACGTGTGGTTTCCATTCTTGACTTCCTGTCTAGAACAATCTTTTCTGTGTAAATTGTTGCGTGTTGGAAGCATAGAGCAGCAAAAATAGGCTTGGCACATTTCTTTAGCAGAGCCACGCTCAATACACTTCTGATACGGAGCTGAGACGCGTCCTGTATGAGAAGCTGCATTGATTAGAATGGCAACCTATTAGCTGTGTGATGCACGACGCTGACGGAGTGCGCTCAATACAGATCCTGTATGTTTTAGCCTTAAGTCGTTGTGAGATGATCTGTGCTAAGATAAGCTATGTGTAAAAGGAAACTAAGGTTAAACACACCGGATCAAACCAAACAAAACCAAGGAGGGTGCCTCCAGGCACCATCCTTCCAGGAGGGAGAGAGAGAGAGCCATCATAAATTCTCAATCCCTAAACTAGGGGGGGGGGGGGGGGGGGATTTGGAAAGGAGGATTTGGAAAAGGAAAACAGAGGCAAGAAGGCAAGAAAACACACACTGACCCCAAGTCCTGTGACCATCACAGACTGTTCCAAAGGACAGCAGGTTGAAGCAGTCAATTAGGCTGTGTCTATTTCTATACTGAAACAGCTCTACAAACCCATAAAGTTTAGTCAGCTCAGCAGTCAGTTTTCCCTGGACCTAACTCCGCGGATGTCAAGGTAGCAGCTCACCATGACACTTACATTCTGGATAAACACATGACATGACTGAAAGATGCCAAAGTTGTGAAAGAAAAATTGGGACAGGGATTTTCCCAGTGTCACGGATACACTAAGGTAGAGACTTTCTCTTTACCCACCTGCCCATATAAAGCCTGTGTCTGGTTTATGTATCTGTTTGTTGTGTTGCTGTGTGTGATTGTAGGAAACCTCACAACCACTGGATATAGTAAAAGGACAATTGAACAAACAGTGATACATCCAGTATACTGATATAAAAGGCAGAGAGAGTTATTCCTTTAAACGGATGTTTTACCCAGAAGGTGGTGCTCTGAGGAGTTAGAGACTATTTGATCCCGAAGATTGAAGGGAGGAATAAAAATCACAGGTCACAACTTTACAGCTCCTTTGTCTCTCATGAGCTTGTAATCATGCACCAGTGGTAAACTATTTACTACATGTGTTTTGTGGCCTACTAAAGATTCAGTTTGAGACACCTTTGGAGCATTAATTGTATCAGCCTGAATAAACAATGCTACAAACACTGTCGAAAACTCATCCACTCATGTCCCCATCAAAGTATTATTCAAAGCCTCATTTCTCTGACCTTGAGATTTTTACTTTCAGAGAAAAACTGTTCTTCCTCTCTTCTCAGTTTTCTATTTCAGACTAGGTCATATTGATTCGTGGACCAATCTATGCAGCATCAGACAAGTTTTACAGTACAACACATTCATCTCCCAAACAGCCCAAGAGTAAGACGCTGCAACAATTCTTAGAAACCAAAACAAGAGTGTTACTCTTTTCTCACTTTGGATTTTTCATGTGTAGAAAAATGAGGCAACATAAAAAGAAACTCAAAGGGTGATTTGAAAGTGTTCCCCAATTTTCCTCTAGCTGCTCACTCTGCCCCTGTGTTACCTGAGGGTGGTGCTTAAAGCTCTGCAGCTGACAGGTTTTGGGTAAAGTGGCTATGTAATTGCCCTGCAACCTGTTTAGTGGACCTGTTCACAGCAGAAAGACATTTTGGAGAGTAGCTGCAGCTATAAAACACACAAAGTTATCAGACACGGTTTTCTACAGTCAGAGGATCCTCACACATTTATATTCATTGTAGCAGTTTATCAGTGTTGTGCAAGCTTATGAAAATGATCAGTTTGTTCCATTAGTCACTACCACCAAATAGTTACTGAACTTCTATCAAAGCTGGTGCATACCATTTTATTCTGCCTTATTCTGCCTGGTATTCTGTCCATTCCAAACAGCCAAATCTTTAAATCAAGTTTTGTCTGATTGAATTGAGCTCTCCTTCTTGGTTAACCGAGCTAACATGAGCTTTACCTGGGCCACCTGTGTGTTTACAGCCCTGGACTCTCTGGAAACTAGCTTAGTAGAAGCATTTTTCGCAGTTTTGCACTTTGTGAGTTAGATTGACTTGTGTCAGCATCCACAACTACAACTTCAACGTACTCACAGCACTGATTACCACAAACCCATTAATATCCAGCCTGAATGTTGTGCACACTGTTATACAGAATCAACAGGTAATCCTGCTGAAAGACAGAAATTTGTAGGGCTACTTGTTAAACCATGCCACCTTTTACTGTGTTTAAAGCTTCTGTGAAAAGTCATCTTTCTTATACCTTTGACCCGCAAATAAGGAGTCGTCTGTATCAGTTACAGCACAACTGTCTTTAAATTGTTATTTATCTCTTTTTCATAATTAATAAAAGTTTATCGTTGTAGAAGATCTATGTCAACATTTTATATTAGCCATTAAGGAAGGAGAACCTCTAGATTTAGTGTCTGGGAAAAATGATTCATATTTGGGCTGGAAACCTGTCCTCTTAGAGTGCAGGGTCCCCCTGCCTCCTCCATGAGCAGCACTTTTTCTGTCTCCTCCAAGCAGATGCCTGCTTGTTGGAGTTTTCCTGAACATATGTGTTTGAAACAAACAGAAGCTGCTGCAAATATGCAACCTTAGGTTTTACACTCTGTCTCTATAATACTTTTGGTTTAATCTGAAGTAAATATAAAGATTTCATTTATAGCAGCACCTGGTAACTACACTGTACTGTAACTTAAACTCTATATACCCCCTGGCATAACGAATTTAATAATCTACAGGACGGTAGTTTGAGCTGTGGAAGGAAATTAAGTGTCCAGGTTAATTCGCATTTTCACACACACACACACACACACACACACACACACACACACACACACACACACACACACACACACACACACACACACACACACACACTAAAAGCTTTGTCAGCATTTCTTAGGACACACACTTGTCCCCTAGATGTTGGAGATAGTCTAATTGAGAGGAGACTCTGAATGTGATTTTCCTCCTGAGGCCTTGAGTCTCTGCACTAAAAAGAAAGTCTGTCTGACTGTGGACTGATCTTAGCTCATCAAAGGACTTCATTTAACTGATCTGTTCCTCTGAGAAAGCTTTTTTAGGTAATCAAGACTTCCTGAGACATGAACAATTCAACAGCTACCAGGACTGAAAGAAACAAAAAGAGAGAGAATAATTGAAGTTGATCCAGCCATGGAAGCTGAGACCGGAGCTCTGATTCAAGGAGCATCACAGTGGATGATGTCCTGTTTGCTTCAGACAGGTGAGAGAATCAGCAGCTCTTTTGGAGCTGACTCTGTCCACCCATAGACTGTATATACTATAGACAACTTGGTTCCACCTTCCACCAGTATACGGATTTGAGGCCAAAAAGCTCTCTGTAATTTCGTGTCTTTTCTCCACTTCCTGAAACCACCACTTACGCAGTAGCATTGTGCGCATTCAACTGTAGAGTCGCCAAGAGTTGCTGTGATGACACTCGGCTTAACCAGCATATCATCCGGGTGAGCTACACAGTCTTAGTACGCCAATAGGCTGTATCAAGTGTCAATCATAGAAAACATGAACCCCCTAATAACTCTTAAAAAACGGAGCTGCACAGAAATAGGAGGACTTGAGCACAAACCAGTCTTACAATAACTACATGTCAACATCACAAGCAGGAGGAGAAAAATTTACGTTCTGTGTAATTAATTTCTGAAGTTTGTCCACAGCTCCATTAAGGATTGCTGGTGGAGGCGGGAGTTATGACCTATACTGCAGCCTGTAGCGATTTGAATTTATAATAAATGTCTGAAGAGTAATAATCTGCAATTATGACATTTATGCACTCGTTGAAGGGGGCACCACCCACCTTTAATGGTGGGAAAATAAAGAAAAACAAAAGTTTAATTCAGAAATCAAACATCAAGTCAATCTTTAATGAATCAATCTCATATCTTAAGGGACTCCACTGCTGGAAGAACACTAACAGACAGGAGTTTAGAAAAATAATGATCTGTTTATTACAGGATATATGATGGTACAACATCCATGCAATAAATGATGATAAGATAATTAGGATAAATAATAATAGGTGAATAAATAAAGATTCTGGGTCAGGCTAGGAGCACTAAAGTTAATGATAGTGAGTGAATATGTTCTAACATATTAACCTACACTAACTTTGGTGTCAAGATACATTTGGATATGGATTTGGATGAAACTAGGATTACCAGAATAGGTGAATATCTGAGTTATGACTGCACGAGACAGCCTCAGCCCTGTTTGGAGCTCTGGAGGTTTGCATACTTAAGTGAGACTGGTCCTTGGAGAAGATGGAGCAGGTACCGAAGGTCTGGGCTAAAAAAAATATCGGCGGTTCGAGCGGTTCAGCTCAGAAGACGACTTAAATCAGCCGTAGGATGGGCCAGGAGTTGCAGTACTCGGGCCCAAAGCAAAAGCCAGCGCTGTGGATCCTTTGGATGCTCGTTTGGATGCTTCTTTGGTCTCTCTCAAAAACTCTGGCACAGAGGATGACTTTGGGCCTGCTGGGTGGCATTCAGAGGTGACTTGGAAATCACGTAGATGACTCAGAAAAAGAGGCTCGATGACACTATTTCGAAACTATTTCAAAAATGGCCTCACGAAATTAAAGAAAAATCAATTAAAGACTTAATCTTAAATTGCTATGTGCACAAAAAGTTGAAGTTTCAAAACTTGAACTAAGACGATGTTAAAGAAAAATCAACGTGAATGAACACGTGGCGTAAAACTTAGAAGACTAAGGAAAAGTAAGACTAAGTAGTAAGAGCTAAGAGAAAACAAAGAAAGAGGAACACAGAAGGGTGTGGACACTGAGTGAAGAAGTGGGTGTAAGAGAGTAAGGGCGAGTGAGCAACCCCATTTTCTGGTTTTATCTTCTCACACTGGGAGTGTCTCTGGTGTGTGTGTGTGAGGAGACAGAGGAGGGGTTGTGGGGTCTCCGGCTGCAGAGGAGACCTTGGATCTCTGATTATTTGATCTAACTTATACGTTTTGCTGGTAAAAGAGTCAGATCTGATACTCACTCACTCTGATTAATATCATTGAATGTTTGGTTTCATGATAAATAATTTGATACTAAACACATATAAAGAAATGTAGGATCACATCAAACATTCTCATTATGTTTTAAATATCACATTGAACATGCTAAATTCCTCTGAAATGAAACAGATAGTAACACATCGAAACTGTGAACAAAAGAGTAAGCATATGTAAATGAACCTCATCATGATTAATAATGGATTCTAAATACTCACATTCAGATTATTCAATGACATTATAACCACCAAATGGTTAAAAATACTAAATAAACGATTAAAATATAAACTAATCATTTCTAAACCATTTCTGTTACTTAGAGTAAAGTTATGATTCATAGTCAATAAATTTAACTCTTAAAAGTTCATGAAACAGTCTGAAAAGCTGTTAGTCTAAAGAAACTAAAGAATAAAGGATTTATTCTGTCAGAGTGATAACTTGGCTTCTGGAGCACATAGAAAAATGGGACACATCTTATTTTAACACAAATTTCATGATTAGACAGATTAGTACATTGCTGAATGCATAAGATGTCATGATCAGTCATTTGTATTCTTGTATTCTTTCTCCAAAGGAATGCAGTTTTTATCAGTACATGGTTAAGCAGGGTTTTACCACTGAGGTCTGGAGGTCAGTGTCCTGCTCCTCAGACCTTATCTTGGGGTCCGTATGTTTAAGACGGTAAATCTTAAATGGGAGACCTGGATTAAGGCACAAACGATTATTTAGATGGTCAGCAATGGCGTCAGTTTAAAAGGTAATAAACACTCTGTCTCTGTTCTTCGAATTGACCAATTGTGAAGAGCCAGAGGTTTAGGTCAACCTCCGATCGGGTCAGTTAGGTAAGATTTATATCCTGTGTCCTGGGACCAGATAAGGAAAACTTTCCTGCGAGGAATGTGTGAGTTTCACATACAGGGTTGTCTTGATTGCTACAAGCCCGTCACCAGGGTGTGCTGCTCCCGGAGTGATTTCATCCAGCGAGGAGGCAGACGCTGTCCTTTCCATATACAGTATATGGTCCATCCTTACTAAAACAACAATGAGACTCTTTCTCTCTCCTGGTACCCAGAGCTCGCTCGGCCAGGGCCGAGGTGTTTCCTGTCACTCTGATAGATTTCCACAGCTGACACCAGTGATCTGTCTTCACCCTGATTTGGATTGATGAATTCCCTCTCTGTTGCCGCAGGAGGAGGCAGCAGCTCTGAGATATTTCATGTACCTGCAATGAGTGGGTGTTAAGCAACTCTTCGTATTTATCTTGTATAACATGACAAGACAGATTGTTGCAGAGGAGTCTGAAAAATTTGCATCATTTAAACAGCTTTATGTTGCTGCCAGCTCCCTGAAGGCTTATTGAAGAGAGCTCGACCTCTTCAGTGATACTGTTAAATAACAGCCTGCTCTCATTGCAGGCTGTCAGACACCAACGCTCTGTCACATTGTCTCATAAACCGCACTTACTCTTTAACATCTCATACAGATGTTCACTTTAGCATGGTGCTGTCCTTTTAAACCTCAGTGTGTAAGGAAGTGGTCTGTGTTGATGTGTAAAAAAAGAGATACATGTAAAGCAGGGGAAATATCAATGTTTTGGTTTATTGTCATGCTGTTCATAGTGGTAGGGGGGGCTTGATGCCAGCTACCATCTGAAGAAGAAGAACAAGAACAAGAACAAGAAGAAATGACTATTTTGGAAACCAGGTAACTGCGCCTCTTCAGGGGGTAAATGGCAGGGACATTCATTCATTTAGTTTATAATTGATTAGATGGAGCATATGTTCCATTTCAAAATAACATAATGGGCTCTATTTTGGTGCTTCGCCGGAGATCTGCCGCAAGCGCAGCGTCAATCAGATCCGCCGCGCTGACAAGGCGTTCCCAAGCACATTTTGGTATTTTGGTGAGCCCCGCAGCCCGGCGTAAGTATCCCCCCTCCCTAACTCAGCTCCTCCCGGCAGCATAAATCATAGAAGGGGAGGAGAGAGTGCGTATAGGGGTTTAACACAGCCGAGACCTGTTTTCACCAATCACATAGGCTCCTTTCCTTGCCTTTAAATCCGCCACAGGCGAGGCGTATTACTATTTTCATGAAGTAGTCAAAGAGATCAAGAGATGTCTTAAGACAGTAATGCCACAAGATGGCGACAGAGGGCAGCTCCTCAACAAGTGTCCTCCACACTCTCTCATATGAGCACAGATGGATTTAGTGTGCGTAATGTTGGACCCAGTGGTAAGACAAACACCCTTTTCCACAAATAAAGACACTCACATAAAGTTGCTCATATTCAAACCTCACGTGACAAAGGTCGGTTGAGCGCACAGATCACAACATAAACTCCAAAAATGGCATAAAAATCGGAACCATCTGTGCGTAAATGACGCATTGCGCTCTGTGGCCTGGCTCTTTCTTTCATAGATGTTGGCATATAAAATAAATTTGGCTCACAAAACTGAATATTATAATATCCGTATGTCGGCTTAAAGTAGATAACGCATCCGAGCACTGAAACAAATCATCTGTTCAGCCGCAGCAGCAGCAAGACGGACAGAGGACACGGAGACGTGTCCAGGTCGAGCTGTGCGAGAAATAAGAGGAAGAGGAAGAAAGAAAAGGAGGGAGACGAATTACATATCGAGTTAACTTCATCATGTGTGAATATTTACTAGATATTTAATTTAATTTGATGCGGTTTCAGCTGTGTTGATTCGGTCAGGTTGTGTGTCCAAACGCGTGCCAAACGCGCTCATCAGATCAGATATAGATCAGAATATATCTATATAGATCCAAATGTATGTGCTGACTCACATTAATAGTTGATGATGATTATTTATTGCACTGAAATGTGCCTGACACTGTGGAAACCTGCCGGTGAGGCATCAGTGACGTATGTCGATACGCCGCCGGTCTACCAAAATACTACTGGACCAGCTGCGTTCCGCCTTGCGCTGAAAGCTGACCAGGTTTGAATCGGCGAGCTTTCAGCGCACTTTACACGCCGGTGTCGAGCACGAAAATGTCACTGCGCCTGCTAATTCTGTCGACACCTCCCCCTGCCACACCACCACGCCCAGCTTGGCGGATCTCGGCTCGCCTCCGTGCGGCTCATGCCACGAAAATACCAAATTGGCCTTACGCTGGGCTCCGCCAGACGAAAATACAACTGCGCGGGGCTCGCCGCCCTCCGCCGCCTCACCGGCGCGAACGAAAATAGAGCCCATTGTTTCTCCAAATTGCAGGACAATGCAAGGTGATAAAATGTCAGCTCTGGTTTGCCCAAGAAAAGAACAGGATTAAGCATGGAGTTTAAGTGCACCAGGTTTTTAAATGCAGAGGCTCTTATACTGTAATTAAGCCCATTTATGCAAAATCCCCATGCACTTTTGCACAGAGAAAGCATACATTGACATGATTTTGTATGTCAACTTGCATTGGAGTTGCATGTTTAGTTAGATATATGCATGGAGTTAATTGATCCAGGTCTTGGGGCCCAGTGTCCCAGTGGAGGTCCTGCATTGGTTTGCCCCCAATTAGACTTCATTCACATCATTTGCTCTGAGTCAAACCAACATTAACTGTAATGAAAGTGTTACAGGATGGTTCATTCACATTTTAATTTGACTCCAGATGGGTTTTCATTAGAGTTTATTGAAAGCTTGATGTAGACATCTTGTGGGTCTGGATCAGACTATATGCATGGACCACAACAGAATCTGTAGAAAAATGAAACAGCTTTTTATTTCTGATACTGCACTACTGTGGTTCATTTCTGAAATCAGCCAACGCTAAAACATTCATCATAAGACAGCACAGATATTTCTAAACAGGATTTTGGAACATAGTGTATTTAAAAGGCTAAGGGAGAGCATGTAGGCTCGAGACGTCACAACCTGCTAACAGAAGCTACCTGGTGCACAACTTAATTTTCTTGACATGCTCATTAGTTGGATTCAGCACCCATCGATGAATGTGCATGTCTGAATGTGATTTCTTCCTCTTGCAACTTCAGGAAATCTTACAGTGTCTCCTCCTGCTCTCAGACTCACTTCTCTAACAGGGCTGGAATCAGATCCAATCTACATTTAAATTTATCCCTGCTGTCATAGAAGTCAGAGCTCTGTCTGACACATCTGGGGTGCTCCTCTCTCAAATGATGGAGGGGAGTTTATTTACATCTCTTTGATTACTGAAAACTGGAGCTGTTAGACAACCGCTGTGTCACTTTCACTGTGTACAGCATAGAAAACAAATATTCATGCAGGATTTTTTAATAGAAACAAAGCTAACATGGAAAAGAGAGGGCAGGAACTTGTTGCAGCAGCTCAGGGTTAGTTTTTTTCTTAATTTAGAGCATAAAGTCCACACTGGCAAGGCCTGTAACTCCGTCGTAAAGGGGGAGGGTCTCTTGAGGGCTCAATTCTAGGTCCTGCTAATCCCCTTTCCAAGTGGTGTATGAATGGAATTAGTCAAAAACTGATGCACTCTACAGCCTCTGCCATAATGTGTAAAAGTGGTGTGAATGTGTGAATGTGACGTGATGTAAAAGTGCTTTGAAAGTCAGAAGACAAGAAAATGTGAAATTAGTCAATCAATGAACAGTCCTGTTTTAATGGGCTGATAATCGTGGCCAATAACCACTGTTATCTAAACTATTAATCCACAAACCACTATGTAAAGTTTTGTAAAAGCTTTATGATGGAGTGATCATTCATCTGTGATGCAAGACTACAATAGTGACATCAAGTTGTACAACAGATGTTCAAAGTCATGGTACATTCGATGTAATATAGTGCAGAGATTATGTTGTTATAAAGTTTACTACATGTATGCAAAGACTCAGATCACAAGGTTATAATCTGAGAAAGTACAAAACCCAATTCCATTAAAGTTAGGAAATTGTGATAAACGTAAATAAAAACAGAGTTTCTGGCAAAGCAGAATGGTCACTGTAGGTAATGCTGCTTCACTGCTTAACTGATTAAACACAATAGAGAGAACAGGGTGAAAACAGGGAGCTCTGCCCGGTTCCAGAAAGCCTCTGGAGAGGTGGCCAATCAGAAGAAAGCAGGATTGTGGAAGGGGGGCCTTAAAGAGACACCAGCTAAAACGAAGCTGTTCAGACAGAGAATGAAATAATGATATTTCAATACACCACTGTGAGAAATTTGAAGCTTTTTTTGATCTGAAATTCACGAAAATACATTAAAGAGGAATCAAGGAGGAAGTATGGAGTCTGAAAAAAAGCATGATTGACTCAATTGCTTTGTGCTATGCTATTGATTGTGAGTAGATGTTGAAATAAATATGGTGGAGATAGGGTGCCTGGCTGCTTGGAGGTGTAGAAGTGCACTCCTGAAACCCTGTTTGTGTCTTTGAATTTGTGGCCCACACAGTGTTCAGCTGAACAATAATTACCATCTCGGTGAGTCAATCTCTGCAGCTCGGTGTGTTTTCAGTCCTGGATGTGAAACATGCTTCTGCAGCCGACTGCCTCCACACTGCACTGTCCTCTGAATCCAATAAGTAATAGTTCACACTCCAGCGCCTCTGCACAGTGCTTAGCATAAGAAGCTAATTAAAAGCACTTCACCCAAGTCACTCTTATTTATTGTCTTCCATAATATTTATAACTTGCTTGTTGCTTTTACATGAACTGATTTCTCTCAGCTCCATTATATTAACGAGGCTGCGGTTCACAGGGTGTAAATCAGAGTGATGCATTTCTGAAACACACAACAGCAGCCCTGGGAATCATTTGTTATGGTCCACAAACCTTTTCAAACAAAACACTGAATGTGCTTAATCAAATATGTTTTAACAGAAAATCAACCTGCAATTTGACTAAACAAACACTGGTGTTTATATTATGTCCTGTTAAAATCAGTTAGAGTGCCTTTTATTGTTGGATTGATATCATAACATTATTAAATGACTATGCTGTTGTTCAGTGAGTTTGGCCCACATGTCACCTTCTGCAACACCTGACAGAAGTCTGGGCTTGGAGTTTGTCTCTGTTATTATCTTTTATAGTTGCTATGCAGTTCACAAGTCCCACTCCTATTGTTTAAAGTCCCACTCCTATTTTTATTTATTTATTTTACTACTCAAAGTGTTCTCAGTGGTCTTCAAATTGTGATTATGAAGTTTTTAGCCAAAATCACATTATCTGTGTCATTTTCAAGGGCTTTTCTTCTATGAGCTCCAGTAGCTATTAGCAATTCACCTCTTGTGGGCAGAGACTGCGCTGCTCTGCACACTCCTCTTCACACTCCTCTTCACACTCGCTTGTAGCTATTCAGCTCTCAGACACTAGTGTCTTTAGGGGCATGTTGGAGGTTTATATCATAGTTAGCTTTCTTTTGAGCATTGCAATCTGCTAACGCACATGCATGTTCCGCAACTGTCCTCTCTATTCCTGTACAGATGAGTATGTGACAATACCAAAACCCCTGGACCTCTGTGTGTTGAGGTCCCTCATGACCACACAGTCTTGGGGGCGGAGCTTGGAATTGTGACATAGGAAATCCCTCTGTATTTAAATGCACTCATACTCGGAAAAGCAGTTTTGCTCATAGTTTTCTTATATGTCCTGTAGCATCAGAAAAATGCTGTTGTTAAAGACAACAAGAAAAACATGATTTTCATCAGAGTGGGTCTTTAAGGTCATGTCAATGCTAGATGACCAACTTTATCTGTAGGATTTTCCTCTTGTAATCAAATTTTAATTTTCACCACCTGGCAGGATGCACTCATACATCAGTGACTGTGGAAAAAAGCCAAGGCAAGGTTTTTCCTTTAAAACAAACTGTCCTTTATCAGAGTCACTTCCTGAAGCCTGGAGTCAGAGCCAACACAAGCTACTGGAGTTTTGTGACCATGGTGCCCAAATAAACTGCTGACTATAGCTACAAGTCTTTTATTTGGTTTGAGTGAACCTGGTGCCATGTTTATATGGAGCAGCTGTTTCTTAAACCAAACCATTTGAATGTCAGTGTTCAGTTATGACTGTTTTAATATTTAATCTTCCAGGTGGTCCTGGTCCTGACTGTTTGATCTCAAAATCTAAATGCTTTGCTTGAACTTTTGAGCAATATTTCCTTTTGGTGTCACGTTTCCAAATCTATACTTCATGCTCTCTTTAGAATTGACTTATAAATATCAGGAGGCGGAGGTAACCTGCTGTCAGGATAAAGCAGCGTGCTGGCTGAGATGAATGTTTAACATAAAGACATCAGACATAGATAATCTCCATGCTGATGTTCAGGGTCACAGATTAGAGGCTCCTGTTCATGTCGAGACAGAGCAGAGCTGCTGCAGCTGCAGAGACACTTTGATTTTTTCAATCTCTGATTCAGCAACAAGAGCCTCTAAATGAGCTCTTTCTAATAAAGTCGACACGTGGAATCTCAACATGGTGGTTTGAACAGGTCTGTAGTAATTTCCTGTCATTGATGTGACTCCCCTCGAGGAGTGTGAAGTAGTTAACCTGTCAATAACATAACCATCAACTCAATCAATAGGCAATTTGCTTTGTAACAAGCTGTTAGTTTGCAATGTTCAGAGCCAAAGACACAAGGCAATTCCACACTTCTTTTGAAAATGTAGGACATCATTTCCTTTAGAGATTATGTATTTGCACACCTTAGGTGATGTTTTAAGACAGTCTCCTCTGTCACGTTAGTGCAGGTCAGCTGTGTGAGGATTTCTGGATCTGTGTATATTAGATGGGGAGGGGCTGACAGAGCTGAGAGTGGTCTCCTGTCGTCCGTTCTCTTCTGCTGATGGTGAAGATCTAAACGAAAGCTGTTGAATCTCTTCCTCTGAGTTCTCTTTAGGAAGTCTAACCTCTCTGACAAACTGTGTGTGTGTTTCCAACTGAGGACACCTCATAAACGCTCAGAGGCAGAAATGATCCTCACTGTTGTAACATTTTATTAGATTTGTCTGTTATCACTGAACAAAGACTGTGTGAACTTTCCAAATATTCTGCTTTTGAAAAGACTGCACTTAACACAAAGTTTTTTTTTTTTTTTTGTTTTTTTTTTTGTTTATCTGTTGTCACCTCTCTGTGGTTTGTTGTTCATTGAACCTTGGCTGAACTCACTGCTACTCCTGCATTAATCCATCCTTCCTGCTGTGGGCTGGATTAGATGCAACCTGTTGCTCAACGCAAGAAACTTGGCTCTATGCTGCTACTATAAATAACCAAAGACAGTGACCCTTTTATACTCCATTGTGCTTCTGAGCCTATTTTACTCTTAGCCAGAGTATTTTTATTTTTTTGTAATGCAGAGCGTTATATTTCTCTCTGTCTGTGATGAAGGAATGACACAAAAACCAAGATGAACGCATACAAAAAAAAAAAAAAAACTGAACTCTATCCTAAAAAGTCAAATTCTAATATGTGTGAATGAATCCAGAGAAATTAAAAACAATAATAATTATTATAAAGAAAGGAGAATAATCTGATGGATTGGCTGACTGATTTAATCTATAAAATCTCATGTAACTCTACTGCCCTCTAGAGCAAAATGAAGATCTCCACAACTTTGGACTGTTCGCACACTGCAAACAGAATGATGACATTCAGGAAGAAATAAGGAGTGGAGGAGGACACACTGAGTTGAGACTCTTCCACACCCCTTCATTTCCAAGTATGGTAACATCTCTGATACAACATGTAATTAGTTCACTTTCAAACCATCTCTGGTGCTGTGCTCTTTCACACAGAGTCAGATTAATGCAGCCTGACTCACTGATCACCTCAGTCTGTCCGACGTTTAAACTTACTGAAATGCTGAAATCTTCTTTTTAAAAGTAGATGCTGAACTTGCTGTAACCTTTGGTCTGTTTTAAAACATGAACCTCACAGATTCACACATTTGTAAGTCATACAGATTCATGTGGGGTATAACAGAGTCACTGTCACCAACTTTGTGTGGTTGAATTTTCTAAGTATATTTGAACTGTAAGCTCATCACAAGGTATCTGAATAATAAACTAATTATGTTTTACACTACAATATTACAACTCAGAGTTTTTCTTATCAGTCCATTCATATAGATTGTAGCCTTAGACTTGTGGATGATATTGTTGGAGATAGAGAGAGTGTGAACAGGAGGAGTTCATAGACTCTGAGTTATTCTATACACGGTCAACAGAGGAGTGACATGACTGGGCATAATAGGAGAGCAGATTGCACAGGATTTCCACAGCATTCAGACAGGATCACCACTGTTTCAAAGCGCCTGCTGTTTTATTCAAAGACTGACCCTGTAATCCTGTGACTATCAGTCAACTGTGTTCATGGTTGTCATGGTTACAACAGCTGTTTAAGCATAAAAAGAGTCCTTGCAAACATCCTGGTTTGGTCTTTGTCAAATGTCAAAGTTATACTCATCAGATATTTCTCTAATAAAAAAGTTGAGGCGTTAGACATTCAATCAGCTGAATGTCACCAGTTAACAAGGTCATCATTCACAGAGAAACACTGGCGGTGTCTGCCAAGCTATTTAGTGTGTGAACTATGTCCAGCTTCAGTCCAATCAAGGTTTGACTTTAAAAAGGGGGTATGCTGCATTTTTTTAAGACTCTATACTTTGTCTCTAAAACCTCTTTAATATTTTTACATGATTTTCAGATCAGAAAAAGCCCCAAATTTAACACTCTGGTGTAAAAAAAAATATTATTTCAGCCTCCATCTGGAACGCTGTGTTTCAGCTGCTGTCTCTTTGGTTTTTGCCATGATATGTTCTGTTGATTTAGTTTTTCCCTGGTTATGTTATATGAGTGTATTTTCTTTGTGATTTTCCCCTGGTGTTTCTGTTCCCTATTCTTCCTGTGATACTGTCTTATAAGTTTTCTGTTTGTGTTTGACCCTGTTTCTCTCCTGTTCTCTGAGTTATTCTCTAGATCAGTTCTCAGTGTTTCCCATTTTATTTTGTAGTAGTTGATTCCTTGTGTTTCTAGTCTGGTTTTGCTTCCCTAGTTTTCCCTCCTTCATTAACCACCCATGAATTTCACCTGTGTCTTGTCTGCCTCACCTGTTGCTTGTTTCACACTGTGTTTGATATGCAGTGTGACTGCAAGTCGGCCTTTAGTATGCCTGGCCTGGTTTAGTCTCTAGTATGGAAAAGTACAACGTACCCTGGTAAATTGCAATGACACTACAGTGCTGCGCATTCATTTACACACAGAAAAACTGTTTTTTTTTTTTCCTGGATTTTTTTTAGCCCAATACCAGCCATCAAGAGAAAAAATACTCAGAAATGCAATTTTGCTCTTAGTTTTCTCATGGTATGTCCTGTTGCATCAGAAAAATGGAATATGAACATGTAGACAACAAGAATATAACGATTTTCATTGGTGTCCGTCTTAGTATGCTTTAATGTTCTAACAGCATTATGAAGGCTCTGTTCCATTGGTTAGGGTACAGGTGTTATCACCTCATTAAAATCCTCCACTCGTCATCATGGTTTCTCTCTGACTCTCAGCTCTTCTGCATCTTCATAAGCAAAAGTCAGCAACAATACCTGCTTTCTCCCAAGGGAGACGCCCTCATAACCATCCAAGAGAGCACAGCCTGTTCAACATGTTCAGTAGAGGTCTGGTAAATGTCCTGTTCCTTTTATATGTCTTTTTTTTTAAAGTTATAATCCCCCTTTTACCGTCATTGAGAGCTCATTCCTTACTGGAGCTTTATCTTCAGAAAATTTGAAACACATTTCATGTGTAGGTACCAAGTGTTAAGTACTCCCACAAATAAGTGGAGAGCAAATGCTCCTTTTAGCACAGCTAAATACCTCTCACTGCTCTTGAATCTTTGGTAGCTTAGCAACAGTTTTGTAAAAAGGCGGAGTGGGGAGGGCTAATGGATCCCTCCCCCTCTGTCTCTCGCACATGTCCCCTTTTATTATTGTCTCTGTAATTTGACTCTGTTCAATGGTGCACTTGTGTCTTGGTGGCACAGAGATCACTCTGTCAGTCAGAAATTAAAATTATGAGCACAGTCTGTGGTGTCGATGACAGTTTAGTCAGTAATCAAGAGAGAAGAGTGGACTTGGAAGCCAAACTTGTAATTTCCCTGCAGCCTCTTTAAATTCAGCTCACTTGTTTTTGCTCTGCTGTTCAGTAACAGATGTCATTACAGAAATACGTCTGACTAAATTATAGTCTTGTACAAAAAAAAAAAAAAAACTGCTTCTCTCCAGACAGAGAGCAGCATTAGGCACAAACACTGTGTAGACATTAGCGGAACAATCAGCATGAAAGTCTGTGTTGGAGCAGACACTAGTTAAAAAATCTGCAGATTCTTGAGTATAATCAATATTAAAGATGTGAGTGTTGTGTTTTTCAAGTTTTCCATGTTTTCTTAGTTTAGTTATTGTGCTTTGATGTGTTTTCTTTTTTCAAAGTTTGGATGAAAGAAAGAAAGAAAGAAAGAAAGAAAGAAAGAAAGAAAGAAAGAAAGAAAGAAAGAAAGAAAGAAAGGGAAAGTTAAGTACAAGTGGACAACCCAAAAGGAATATTCAGGCGTAAGTTTAAGTCATGGTCAAACACACTGTGACACCAGGTTAGACACTGCCTTGAGAGAAGAATGTTGCTGACCACTTGCTTCTCTAGTTATACCAACTTTAGTTACGACCGCACGACAGCAATACAGAGCGGTCTAAGTCTCCATGTGCAAACCTCAACCAAAGCGTCACTCTATAGCCACAAATAATGCTCAGAACAGCACCTACCTTCATCAACAGTACATATAGGGTCCCAGCCATAGCACTAGCCATCAAACATCTTTTTAGCTTTGCCAGGTTTCTCTGCACTCGCTGATCAACTTACAGGGCTCCCCCACAAACAAGCGGCTGCAGGAGGAGAGTGGGTGAGTTGTGTTTAGTCCCTTTGCTAATAGTCCGGGAGCCAAAGGGTGATTTTTGGCTGAACGTGGTTTTGTCGGTTAAAGTTTTTTTCTCAACTGATTCTTGCTGCTGGGGGTCCCCTCTTAAGGATTCAAGAGGGTGCCCAGTGAAATCCCTTGAGTGTTTTTTGTTATTAACCCCTTAATGCCCAAAACACATAAAATTCACCCAAAATAGACCTCTACGGTATTTCATGCGAAATACCTGATCTAAATGCATAAAATTTGCTTTCTACTGTTTGTATCCATGTAAATGGATGTGTACAGTGCATTAGATTTATTATGTATGAATTTCATTAATACCCCTTCCTGCCCAGAACAACATAATCTTTAAACCGTGATATTGTACATGCACAGAAATCAAATCAAATGCATTAGATCTGCTTTCTACAAAGTCTAATAGTGGAACTCGTCATGTAAAGCATGTTTCCTTTTGAATGAATGAATGCATTTTAACCCTTTCAGGCCCTCCATCTTGAGCATACTGTACAAAAACATCTACAGAACATATTCTACATCTACATATTCCCCCGCTGGGGAATATGTAGATGTAGAAATTAATACATATTTATTCTTTCATCTCTTCTTTCATTGCTTTGGGTGGGAATTGACTAATCTAGCCTGAATTAATGGTATTTTTATTATGCTGTTTTATTTATACATTATCAATTGATAACTGTGTACAAGAAAAACACAATTCCTGCATGTGTAACTTGTTCCTGCTTTTTCAACTGATAAGCTAGCAGGGAATCAGCTATTTCTCCTCATCATGAGCTAAGACTGTTTGTGTGTGGATGCACAAGTTATTTTCTAGGATGACAGTGATTTGGTAAGTGTTTTCACTCTTTCTAACCTCACACATTTTGTAACTATTTCATATAATGTATTGATTCCTTGACACAATCATTGCCCAACAAGTTCTTGTGTGTGCTGGAGAAGCCCATAAAATCTATGTGGTTTCGGATGACACAGATGTGTTCGTCCTCCTCCTTCACCACTAATTGCCAAGAACATTTTACCAGCCCATGCCATTTCAGGATGTGACACTGTAACATCCTTCCATGGGTTGGGAAAAGGCTCAGTCATTAAAGTCCTGAAAGCTGGCTACGATCTATCGACTATGGGAGACATATATGCACCATTCCAGAAAGTAATTGACCAAGCCACTGCATTCATATCAGCCTGTTATGGCATAAAGAAAAGCCACGACATGTCACGCACTAGACTTCTAATTTGGGGGAAAAAAATGGGAAAGGACATACGTCTGCTCCAAACCTACCTGCACTACCACCTACCAGGGAATCGTTTATTGAGAATGTCAAGAGGGCCCACTTTCAAGCTGCTTTGTGGCGAAATGTTGACGGGCATCTTCCACCAACATTCGACCCAGTGAAATTTGGATAGAAAAAAGACATGGCTAACAGGTCACTGAGCCCAACCACTCTACCTGAAGGTTGCAAACCTGCCCCAGACTACATTCTGCAAATGATTTAATGTGGCTGCAAAACTGAAAATCCATGTAATTCCAAAAAATGCAGTTGCAGAGTACATGGTTTGCCATGCACAATGTCCTGTCACTGTTATGTTGTAGGATGCTCAAGATAGGCCTGAAACAGTTAGTGGAAACCTCCATGCCAACCATAAATTCCTTTAAATGTGGTTCTTCTCTCTGTCTCTGATTCTTGGGTCTCACGAAAGTGTGGATCTTTGGTATCATTGGACCTTAACATGGGATATGCTGTACACGACCACTTCCACACAACATTATTAATTTCTTATACAGCTAATCTGAAGTATTTGGATTGATTTACTATGCATAAAATGTCATAAATCAACATTTTAATGGATTTTGGTGCTTCGGGTGTGAAGGAGTTAATATTAAAAAATGCATACATATTAAATCTAATGCACTGTACACATCCATTTACATGGATACAAACAGTAGAAAGCAAATTTTATGCATTTAGATCAGATATTTTGCATGAAATACCATAGAAGTCTATTTTGGGTGAATTTTTAGTGTTTTGGGCATTAAGGGGTCAATAACAAAAAATGCTCAAGGGATTTCACTGGGCACCCTCTTGAATCCTTAAGAGGGGACCCCCAGCAGCAAGAATCAGTTGAGAAAAAAACTTTTACCGACGAAACCACGTTCACCCCCATGGCTCCCGGACTATAAAGAAATCAGGCAAAGTTGAAAAGATGTTAGGTGGCTAGTACTTTGGCTGGGACCCTATATGCTTGTTAGTGTCTGCTGGACACCGTTACCGTTAACTACAGGCCTGGAGGACTTGAGTTAGAAAAAAAAAAAGTCCAACTTATGTTTTGCTTGACTTCATTTGCAGCACAGCTTTCTGTCTTTGTGCATTGTTGCAACACTTAAGCTGTTAATTCAGCTGTTTCAATCTTTTGCAGCATGTTATCGTTGTTTTGGACTTTTGTGTGTGTTTTTGAAGTTCTTTGATGTCTGTGTCTACTGAGTGTTTGTTGTTGTCAGGAATTGAACAAAGGCCAGGATCGAAAAATGCAGAGGCAAATGCCCAAATTTATTGACAATAAACAACAGAACAAAGTAACAACAGGAAATTGCCGTTTCCGGGAAAAGGCACAGTTGGCTCAGACTGCCACTAAAAAGACACAAAAACAGAGTTAGAGAAAGAGTCACTGCAGCAGGGCAAATAGCTGGTGAAAAAAAAAAAAAAACGGACGGCAGATCAGGGAGCTTGGCATGGCAAGACACGTGTTGCATGACTGAAAAATCATCTGGCACTTAGTCGACAGAGGAGCTGGCATATAAAGCCAGGTAAATGACAAAGGGGGGGGGGCACAGAGGAGAGGAACACAGGAAACCCAACTGCTGCATAAACTCACAGTTGTGATGGAGATTGTTGAAGCTGTTGCAGATCATCTGCCCTCATCAGCCACCATAGTTTCCCACTGTTTCTCTATTCAAAAACCAGCTCCAATGTTGATGGGGATTTAGGAAGTTGAGGGAAAAAAAATGTTTTCCAAAATATCTGTGTACCTCTGCACATAACGAAAAGTCCTGAATATTTGTTACTTGCAATTACATCCTGCCTCAGTGCCGTGCTCAGTGCAGCAGAACTGTGGTCACTGAGCCAGGACGTGACCTTTGATTGGACAGCTATGTGCCTCTAAAATTATTCAGTAAATCTCAAGTATGTTGATGAGCTGCTGGGACATAAATTGATGGCAGCAGAGAGCTCTGCCTCTGTGTTTGAATATGAGCAGAAAGTCGTCAGAGTGTGACAGATGTGCAGTGCAAGAATAAACACAAACAGGTTTACATTTCAGTTTCTCACACACAAAAACTTTTCATTTTCCATCAGCGTTCAGCAGAATGGTTCTGTCTGCATCACCAGAAATGCTCAAACTGTATTTATTCATACCTACAGGTGGAGCTGCACTTTGGCAGGGCCATCATGTTTCTGCTGAGTAGAGACTGCAGAGCACACACCTCCTGTTCATTTGTGTGTATCAGGTCCAGATGGTAGTCAGGCTCTTTCCTCTCAGAGGACACCACTTTACTACTTTGAGTTCCTTCTCTCTTTATCAAATGTATAATAATTGTCTGTTTCCTAGATTTTAAAAATCCATCCTCCTGCTAAGTGTGTCATCATCTGCTGTGGAGACAAGATTGTGAGGCAAAGGCTAAAAGCCTGAAAGGTTGATGCATTAGTGGAAGGAGCACTTTGTTACTTTAGATGAGATGTGGATCTTGGCCATCTGTTCTCAGTGTAGTCCATGGTCGTGGGGATGTTTAAAGGGTGCAGGAGAGGACTGCTGATTGTTAATAAAAAGTGGACATAACCTCTATGAACTGATACATGGGCTGCCATTTAAAGCCTTGAGTCTGGTGATTTGGCAGCACTTTGGTCTTGAGAAGAGAGAAGTAAGGGTTAAGCCAGGGAGCACTTAAGGATTTAAAAGATATACAGGCCCTCGTGGCTGCCAGAGAGCAGTTCTGACTGACAACATGCCGGCAATAAAAGCAAGTGGAGAGAACAGCTAGTTTTGCCAGCGGCATGAAGAGAAACTCTTTTTCTCATCTTTGAAAGCTGTTTCCATCACCACTTTTCTCCCTGCTCAATGGAGCGTCAAAAACATTTATATCCATTCGAATAACTCAGATCCATTAAAGGAAGAAGGAAAGTTTAGGGCACAGCCCTCTGGCTCAGATAAAGGGGATGAAGTTGGATCAGGGATGGACATGCAGTGAATGCTTTATGTCGAGCTGGATTCACCTCAATAGACAAATTGTTCAGAGAGCTGCATGTAGCTGTGGACTGCATCCTCTGAAAGGTCTGCTGTTGCTGTGAATATAAACAGCTCAGAAACCTGTGAAGAAAATAGACTTCCCTGGAGAAGTCACTAAAAACAGAGGGTTGTATATTCCTTAAGCATTAAGGATAAAACTGTAGCGTTAGCATCACTGTTTTTGCTGCAGAGACTGAAGACTGCATTCTGCTACGATTTCACTTGTTGATTTTGTCACTTTGTCACTCCTGGTATGAGTGTTGTAGTAAACAACCAAACCAAAGAGGAATCTGAGTGTAGGAGTGAGTCCTCTTTACCCGGTTTGAGGCTTCACTGAAGTCAAACTGTTGTTTCAATGTTTTAGGAACAACAGACTGTATTGAGCCACCATGGTTGGCAGACTGTGTGGGATCTCTTGGATTGTGTCACCAAGCATTCTGCAGTGTGATTCATTTTTTTACAATTTTTTTCCATCATTGTGCACACACTCACAAAAGCATAAGCATACACAACTAATATACTGGTAATTATAATATTCCAGATCCTTTTCTGTGAGAATATTAGTCCTCTATGCAGCAGGTTAATCTCGTCGCAAAGTGTCGCTCTCACACTGCTCTTGCTGTGTGATGAGCAGAGTTAAAGTATGTCACAACTTACCCCAAATTTCCACCGCATGCGGAACAGTGGCGAAAAGGCTGTTGGCTGCCAACCGTTTCCATCCAATTTAATGTGTGAATTTCCACCAGCTTCTTTCCAGTCCCCTGCAGTTCAATGGGCTTCATAGTTGATCGCCAGGGTTCTATTTTTTTCTGGACGCCGCAACATGCTGCATAAATTCAGCACAGATTAACCCATGCTGGAAAGGAAGTCAGGCACAGACACAAAATAAAACATCAAAATAGAAAAAACAACATGTTTCAGGCGAATCGTATTTCTCACTGTGCAAACATGGTTTATTACACTTACCCACGGTTAATTCCTAATCTACACAAAAGTGTCTGATCCACTGGTCTGGATAGAGTGGATTTCCTCCTCTGAAAGGACACAATCTACTGCTTATGTGGTTATGTTAATGTCTTTTGAGAGACAACTCGTTATCGCATGATTGCACGTGAATCCGCAGGTTCTTGTAAGTCCTAGCGATTCCTGCTGACTGAAATTCGCCACGAAATCCAGTCGGAATTGGTGGACAGCGAATATCACTGCCGTTCTGCAGCAGTGCCGTTCTGCTCGTGGTGAAAATTTTGAGTTATAAAGAAGCTGAAAGGACAGGTTATTTAACAGGCAGTTTTGATGTCCATTGTGTTTCAGACTTCTGGGGTAAATAGACAAAAGAACTATCAGGCACCATTTTACTATTTCTTGTTCCTTCAGAGGAAGTCTTCACCTACATTTACACATTTTGAAATGCAGGCTTTGAGATAAAACAAACTAGCTCACTTATTCTTTGTAAAATGTTGTTGAAATCATTTTTCTCTTTCCAGAACTGTTCAAAAAGCAGAAAAGTTAAGAAAATAAAAACTACTCCTAATTCTCTTGGACGCCTTCATCCTCTGTCTTTTCTGCCGCTCATCTCTCCACATTGAAAACATCAAAGTGTTGGTTTATTTGGATATTTACTCACCACTTCCTTTGAGGCACAGTTCTGTAGCAGTTTTATGTTAATGACGCTGTTTGTTTTCTCTCACCCAACACAGAGATGCTGGGGGTAAGAGCAGAAGACTCCATGCACCCATTCTTTTATTCATAACGTATGTAAAAGGGCGGATGGTTTTTGTTGGATTAGACAGCACCCTCCGGTCCCCTGCAGCTATCTGACACTGACAAGTTAATGCTGTGTTTTCTTTTTCAGCCTAGTTAGCATAAGAAAGAGAGCCTGCGGCGCGTTCATCGTAAAAAACAAGAGTATATTTGACCGCTGGTTCTGGACTGTCAGAGGGTCTCATAGGGTGTGAGTGAAGACTTTGTGGAGAAATTTTAAAAAAAATCTAATTTCTGCAGGGAAGCAGAAGGAAGCAGGCAGATATTTCTTGCAGTGCACCAGCCCCATCTCCTGTCTCTGCCAGGAAAAAGCAGATCTATTCATCTTCATCTCATACACACACCTGCAACTGTCTGAGGCTGGAGCAGGAAAAATGAGTATTATTTAAGTGTCAGTCTGCTTAGAATATTTCATTAATCAATGACTTATATTGATCATTTCATCCAGGCCCCCTGACGTGATTGTGAATCATATCTTATTGCTTATGGAGAAAATTCCACCTGATTCAAGCTCTGTCACTCTTAGGATTTATGATTGCATTACCTGAACGTGGTGCAGCATGAAGTGTGCTCTTGATGTCTACATGTTTTGCAGACACAATTGTTTGTTTCTGAATTACCACCATGATCACTAAACAGCCTGGCTAGGACTGGATGTATAATGGGGACTCGGTATTTGAGACTTGTTTGTATCCCTGAGTGTTAAATGTAACGGTGGGAGAATTATCACCATCCATACATAAATCAATCATTGTTATCAATAATAACTCCATTAATCACCATGAGTATCTTTTCCCCAGTTGATTTGGAAATTATGAGTCTATTACAGCCACCAAGACCTGGTCATGTAGGCAGAAAATCATGATTTATAACCTTGAAGTGCATTTCCTCTGAACGACTGGCTCACTGAGAGCTGGGACGTTGGAAAAAATTACCACATACATCAAACTTTCAAAGACCTTACTTGAAAACAAAACCTGGCAGTCAACCAGCATTAGCAACTTAGCACATGTTGCAGTGAGCTGGATTGGTATCAGATCTATTCATTTAAGTTTATGGCTGCAGCAGGACTCTGTGCAAAAGTTGATACACTTGATTACAAACCATTTAAAGCCAATATTTCATTAAAAGTAATACAAAGACGAACTGTTAACACTGAAATGTTACATATTTTATTACTCTGGGATATATGCCCATTTTAAATCTACTGCCAGCACCATGTTTAAAAAAGTTGTTGTAGGATCATGTTTTCCATTGTGTGTCATCAGCTCTTCTTTTCCCAACTCTCTGTAAATATAAACGAACCAGCAGACCAGTTTCTGGAGTTTTGGAGAGTGAAATGTTGTCCAAACCATGCCTGATATGGGACTTGAGCTGCTCAACTGTACAAGGTCTCCTGTTGTCTTATTTTTCCTGGCATGATACTCCACATGTTTTCAGTGTGGGAGAAGTCAGGAATGCAGCCAGACCAGTTTCTCAGCAGGACTCTTCTACTTCAAAGCCATGCTGTTGTAATCCCTGTTGTCAGAATGTGGTTTGTCATTGTCTTCCTGAAATATGAAGGTCTTCCCTGAGAAAGTCTTTGTCTGGATGGCAGCAGATGTTGCTCCTAGACCTGGAGATATTGCTCAACATTAATGGAGCCTTCACAGATGTGGAAGATCCCCATGACATGGACCCTGATGATCCCCATCCCATCAGGGATGCTGGGTCTGAGCTGTGAGCTGAGAATGAGCTGGATGGTCCCTCTGCTCTTTAGAGAGGTGGACTTCCAGAGGGGATGTCAAATTTTGATCCATCAGACCATAGGACAGTTTTTCACTTCCTTCCAGTCCATCTTAAATGGGTTCAGGTCCAGAGAAGTCCCTGGTGTTTCTGGATCATGTTTCTATCTGGTTTCCTTTTTGTATTGTTTGTAAACAGCATGTGCTCACAGACAGTGGCTTTGTAAGGCAATTTAAAGCCCATGCAATGATTTCCACTCCAGAGTCCTGTCTGTTTTTAATGCAGTGCTGCCTGAGGGCCTGAAGGTCAGGACCAGCCAGTCTTGGTTTTGGTCCTTGTCCCGTCTAGATTCTCTGAATCTTTTAATGATATTACTTTCTTTAGATGATGAAATCCACTCATTCTTTCACATTTGACACTCAGGAACATTATTCTGAAACAGTTGAACTGTGTCCTTACTGCAGTCTCCCACAGAGTGGTGAACCTCTTCCCATTGTTCCTTCAGAGAGACGCTGCCTCTCTGAATGTCCTCAGGTTCAACCATCATAAACAAAAGTTTTGTGACAGAACTGATGAGTAAGTTGAACAGTTCTAAAAGTTTTCCACACATATACTGTATATTGCTTTACACTCGTTTCTTTTCTACTATCCTGATAGTCTGTTAATACCAGCAATGTCTGTGTTAATGATCTGGAAAAAAGCATGCCCTTTCCTGTGAGAGAAAGAGTTTCCACATTGGGATGTGTATGAAATGACCTGGTTTGATGGGTATTGCAGCAGTGTGAGTGTGATAAGCTGAATCCACAATGAAACCACATAATTTTCACCTCGCTGAATTAACTGTGTGTTCATGTGAGGATCCTAAGCTTCAAAAAGCAGCTTATAGTTCTGAAGACACAGTGAAGTGTGATTCTAAGGGACATTAGAAAGTTTATAGCCCACAAAATTCCCATCAGGCTTCATCCTGGTAACTCTTTGGATGGAGGAGCTCTAAAATCCATAGAGCTGTCCTAATTATTCTGGAATTCGGGAAACTCACAAATGTTGTACTGAATCAAGTCAGATACTTGCATCATCTGGAATAAATGGTGGGTCACGCATAAAAAAAGATGTTATTAAGATTACTGTGTGCCAGGGGAATCAATGTACAATCTTGTGTTATCTCAAAGAAAAACATATGTAAACAAAGAAGAGACTGATGAGGTGAAACAACCTGCTGCAGTGATAATCTGCAAAAGAGTCTGAAGGAGAAAATAGGCCAGGAGACTGGATGAACACCGAGACCTTTCAAGTGTCTGTTTCCTATTTGACTTTGTAACCTGTTTTTGATGAATGCCATTTTACTAAAATTAATAATTATGATAATATCTGTGAAGAAAAATGTGCTATCGAGGACTTCTGACCCCAAATACTTTTTGCATCCTCATAACTTTTTTACATTCAAGGCAACTAAAGAGACACTGGCTGTGTTACATTCAAAATACAAATCATGCCATAGTTTATTTTTAAGTATTTACATATATTTTATTTTATTTAAATTTTTACATTTTCTAGAATTTATTTACCCAAATTTCTTAAAATCCGAATAAATCTGTTATTCAGAAAACAATTATATCTCATCAGTTTAAATGTATGAATATAGTTGAAATATGACGAGCTGCGGATCAAGATTCATTGAGTTAAAATTTATGAGTATACAAGTGAGTTTAAACTGGGGGTCAGAGTACAAAATTTGCCTTCATGACTGCCTCATATTACGACTGCCTCATATGATGATCCAGATATGGTGATTCTTTCTCAAATATCTCATTTAAATGTCAGTCTTTTATATTCTCCAAGCCAAGTACTGAAGCATGTCACCTGGTGAAACTAAAATCACTGAGACCATTATTAAACCCTGAGAGTTTTGTCAAAGTAGTGCATGTGTGAACTGTAACCAGGATCTGGTTATTTTCCTGTTTGGTGGTCTTGAAAGTTAGACTTTTTCTTGACCTGGCTGTTAAAATCAAGCAGTATTTGAATAGTTCACTAGTGAGCTACAGCATGGTGCATAGAGTATGCTATTGCTCCAGCTCCAGAAATGTGTTGAACCACATTTTTACTGAGAAATAGTCTGTTGCAGCCCAGATAAAGAGGTTTAAAGATGTAGAGACTGTTAGCATCCATCAGAGCTGGGACTTGCTAACACATCATCACAGCCCTCAGTCTCTATAAGGCCTCATCTCTTTCTCTCTCACTCTCTGCCTCCCTGTAGGAACTGTGACACATTTTCATTTGGTTTCATTTAGGTTTGGTTATTCTGTTTCAAAAACCCGATTTAAATTTTAATCATTCATTTTCTCTCTACACAAAAGGACAAATGAGTTGGGTGAACCCTATTTTCCCTGAATATGGAGAGGACAGATCATATCTGTCTTCACTGAGATGAGCACACAGTTTATCCATCTTATGGTGGAATGACTCGCTCTGAGTATCTGGTAATCAGACCCTGTGGATGAAGCTTGTCCTTAATTTCTCTTGGGCTGGACGCCTCTGTTCATGGTGCCCTCATCCTCCTCTGTCAAAATACTTTTTTTTTTTTTACAGTCAGTCAGTTCTGTCCTGAGTTAAGTCACGACAGAATATCCAGCATATCCTCCTTAGTATCAGGAGGAAATTGAGAAATTGAGAAATTTAGCCAATTACAGCTGAATGGGCATTCGGAGAAAGAAAAAAAAAAAAAATATATATATATATATATATATATATATATATATATATATATATATATATATATATATATAATACTGTGGGAAACCCTTATTACTTTTTCAGTTTAAATGTGTCTGGAGAACTTTAAGGATAACAACACCTCAGCTCTTCCTCAAGATATCATCAAAAACTCATGCCTGCGTAAAGGAAATAAGGTTGAAAGTTTAAATTTGTCTCCATGTCCAGGGTTCAAAAACAGAACTTTTCAGAGGTCTAGGTGTTAATTAGCTCCTGGAAACCAGATGCCCTAGAAGTAGGTCAGGAGCATTGGTTCAGTCTTCTAAATTAATTTGCTGACAATATATTAGCCTGTCACAAAAACAAAGTGACCATAGCAACAGGGACTTAATCAGAACCCCAGTTTGCAGCTGATAAAAGTCTTAAATGAGCTAACAGTAAATGAATACACTGAAAGAGCTGAATATTTGTTTTAACCTGTTTGTGCTGTAACTTTGACAGCTAATGTGGAGTGAAAGACAGAAACGCAAAGAGGTGAAGAGAAGAAAATTCCTGAAAT